TGCAGCCATTTCCCATAATAGCCAAGTTATGGAAACAATATAAGTATTCAAAGGAGTAGATTAATATGTGCTATACAATGGAATACTACTCAGCTATAATATATATGTTATATAAAGGTATATAATATATAACATATTATAAAGATAAATAGCCACCATTTGCAATGACAAGGGGAACTGGAGGGGATAATGTTAAGTGATAAGTCAGAAGGGGAAAGAGAAATAACAGATAGTTTACACTCATATGTGGAGTATAGAAAAACAAACAAAAAAGGGATAGGCAAAGCCAAACCAAATCAATCATAGAAATATGACCATAGAACTGAGGGGAGGTAGTAAAGAAGGGAGGATGGTTTTAGTTTAGTTCTTATATTTAGATCTTTGATTCATTTTGAATTAATTATCCTATCTGATGTTACATAGGAGCTTAACTACACATGTGGATATCAAGGTATCCCAGTGCCATGTTTTGACATTTTTTAAAAAAAACTAATTGAACACACTATTCTATTGCATTAGTCTATATCTGCCTTCAAGACAGTTGATATATCTTGATAATATCTTGAATATTGTAGCAAATTATGAATTTTGGAAGGTTAATCTTGTTTTTCAAGATTGTTTTACTTATTTTGGATCCATGCTTTTCCTTAAAATTTTAGGATCAGTTTATCAGTTTCTACAAGAAACATAGGTAGGATTTTAAAAGAAACTGCAGTGAATTTATAGATCAATTAGGGATGTAATGACATCTTAATATTTTAATTTACAAACACAGGTTGTCTTTTCTATTTATTTAGGTCTTCTTTTATTTCTTTTCTCAGTGTAATATTCTTGTCCTTCTTTTGCTAACTGTTTTCTTGAGAATTTTATTATTTTTGATTCAATAATGAATAGAAATGCTTTAATTTTCAGATTGTTCATTTTGAGTCTGTTTTTTTTTATGTTGATCTTGTATCTTGTAACTTTGCTGAGTTCATTTATTATCCTTAATAACATCTGTGTTTCTGTATATTTGCTTAAAACATTTTTCACTTCTTCAGTAAGCTTACATGATCCTCCACACCACAGGGTCACCACCAGTTTTCCAGTGATTTTATATGCATATACTAATTAGGGAAGTAGCTATATCAACTGAATAATGTCACCAACTAAGGTGACTCTTTAAAAAAGAGAGGAAAAATGAAAGAAACCAGTGAATAACAGAGGAAGGGGGATTGAGGTTACATAAGGCAGACTAAATGCTGGTTGTTAACTAAATTTGCCTCAATAAAAGTGGCAAAATTTATTTCTCAGATTTAAAATATAGTTAGAAAAATATGTAAGTCTTCACTACATGAGAAATACTGAGACCAACAAGAAATGGAAGAAATAAGAAATAGAAATGATTTAAAAATACACTACATCACGCCCTCCCTGGTGGCGCAGTGGGTTAAAGCAATGTACTAAGAAGCTAACGCCTCTTCCGCATGAGTTCGATCCCGCCTGTCCCGGAGGTGCCCACATGGCGCAGCAGACCTCTCCTGGTCCGCCCACTGCTCCCCTCAGCAGTGTACTTCATCAGTCGACCTGTTCTGAATCCTCTCACTGCCCCTTCATCTCTGGCCTGTACCCCAGTTCTGTAATGCATAAATAAATAAATCTTTAAAAAAAATACACTACATCTAGTTCAGATTATATAACCCATTACTATGTAACTGTCAGCTTACAAGCTTATTAAACTTCTATGATCTCCTGTTAGTTATAAATATTTACTTCAAATTTTGAAAAAAGGAAGAAATTATTAGCACCTAAGAATTACTATTCAATTGGGGATCATTAAATATCCCAATAAAATAGTCTTCATAATTCTCTTCATAATTAGAAAAACAGCTGTTAAATAATTGATTTAATATCTATATGTGTATGCACGCACACACACACACACACACACACGAAAGGTGGGAAACAGAAAATCATGAATAAAAACACCCAAAATACAGTTTTTACACATGAAAGCTATGTCCAGATATGCATTCAGTATGTTTTTTTTTGTGTGTAAATCTGTATTTGCCTAAAGAAACTCTGTACTAGAGTATGAAACAAATGAATACCTGGCTTTGAGAAAAAGGGATGGCAGAGAAAGATGGAGATAGGAATGGGAGCCAGACTTTTCACTCTAAATTTTTTTTTCTAGTTGAAGTAATGTTAAGCTTTCATTATTGGTATTGTGCAAGTATCAGGTTTCTCAAAAGTATTAAGAATAGATCTACCATATGATGCAGCAACCTCACTCTGAGGTATTTACCCAAAGAATGAAAAAACACCAGTTGCACTCCTATTTACAATGGCCAAGTTATTGCCCAAGGACAGAGGAGTGAATTGGAAAAATGTATGTACATACACACACACGCACACATATATACATACACACAATGGAATACTATAGATATGAGAAAAAATGAATTCTTGCAATTTGTGACAACATGGATGGAACTGCAGGGGACAGTGCTAAGCAAATAAGGAGAAAGACAAATAACATATGGTTATGTGTAGAATATAAAGAAAGCAAGCAAGGTGTCATTAAGAAAAAAAAAATTCACAGTTGTCTGTAGAAATGAGGAAAGCAGAGGGGTAGAGTTAAGGTGGAGGACAGCTGTGCAGTGAGCCAAGAGGATTATGGTGGAGTACTGTGCATGCCCTGGTGGTGGGTTGTGGTAGCATACAACTGAAGAGGTGTCAGCCTGTATCTCTAAATCATATATAGAGTTGTGAATTAATGTTACTTTAACAAAACAGCATTACAATAAAAAGTAATGCAACATGAAACATGGTAGTATTATAGAGATGTTGCTGAGGACATAGTTTTAATATCACAGTATTTGCTTTCTATATACCTGAGAAATATATTACTTGAGGTTCAAACAGCCAAAATGTGTTCTCACCAACTATCTGTTCATAAATGTTTAGAGTTCCTTTATGCTGTTAGTTTAGAGCCAAAATTCAAATTCCTTTTATTTCTATTTTATTCCTTTGTTCTGAGAATAAATTACAAATTTTAAACTAGACCTTTCTTTTGCTTTCAACCTTAGCTTCATGGATATTATTAATACATTAAGTTAAAATGCCTTTGTTACTGCTCCATGCTGTGGGAGGAAAAAGAAAAATCAAACAAATTATCATTATCATAATCTACACATAATGACTCTTAAAATTTGGTCCAAAAATTCACCTACAACTTAAGTGATAGCAGAATTGACATTGGAGAACCATATGGTGCAATGATTAAATTCTGGACAAAAAAAAAGTGCAAAGTTTGGATTTTAGACTAGACGGAGAATACAGTCATCAAAGAACTCACATGGCAGTATTTTTGATAATTCTTCCTTGGTCCATTTTCTGCCCAATGCCATGTACAACAAATACAATATGGGTAGTCTGTGATGGCTTGTCTTCTAATGTGGCCTCTTCTACATAACCTCTATGAAGTCTGGTCCCACTACTTGATGCTGTGGAAAAATTATGATTTTAAGTTTACTGTTTATTCCAGAAATAACATTTTCAGAACATATTGAGTGAAACAAAGAAGTAAAAGGACTATTAAGAAAAAATTCAGTGAATTGGGGGAAGAATAAGCTGTTAAATGATGTAAATTGGTTCTGATACAAAGTGTTGAACTGGACTTGACACCAAAGCCAGAAACCCTAAGGAAAAACAAAAGCAAGGGTGAACTGAATACAGAAAAATTAAAAACATCTTAAAAAAAAAAAGATGAAGCAATGATTAAAAATAAAGGATAAATGTGAAAATTTCACACAATATGATTCATAATTACCAATTATTGATGTAAAGTAATTGTATACAAAGAAAACTTGCTATTCAAAAGTAAAAAGGCATTCAAAAGTAGCAAAGTAGGCTAAATTATGAGGTAACTCACAAAACAAATACAAATGACTGACATAAACAAAGGTTTTCAAGCATATCTGTTTTAAAAGAAAACAAAATGTAAGATGATAAACTATTAAAAAATTGTTTTTTGATAATGCTCAACATTAGCCCCATATTACATTCCCTCTTTTCTTTTAGTTAATTTCTTTAAAGAGTTGGCTGTCCTCACTGCCTCAATTTCCTCACCTACTTAAGATTCAACTCATGCCAGCTTCGCTTTTACTCCGTCAGTCCATCTAAGTAATTACTGAATTTCATGTCACTAAATCCAATGGAAAGTTTTCAGTCTTCATCTTACCTGACACTATGTTTCAACTGTCATATTTTATTTTCACATCATTGCCTCTGGTTTGACTAGTTATATGCTTTTAGGAATACAAAAGGTATTTGTTAATCTAATCAGATCATTCTAAGTATATTATTATTCATTGATGAATATATGTCAACTTCAAAACTTAATGAAAGCCTCATTTAACAGGACAGTAATTGCCATAAAATTTAACATATATTTAAAATATACTAAAAATGAATTAAGTGTATTTTGAACAAGAGAAAAAAGCCAGATTCCCCAAATTTTGACAAACTACAGTGACATGTAACAATTACCTTTAGAAAATCCCAGTTTTTGGGTAACTGTTCTTGCAATTTTAGATGTTGTTGCATCACTATAAAGATAAACTTCATCCACACTGTGCCAATCCACGTGATTTCGACTCAGCTTGAAACTATGAATAGCTGTACAAAAAGGAAAACTCATTTGACAGTCTCCATAATAAACTTCATTTGTGTGAAAAATTATGATACACATCAGTATTATCTAACAACTCAAATATGAAAGTCAGTTCAATGAAAACCTATTTCACTGAAGTACATATTGATTTAGGTCACAGAGAGGGACTTTATTTTATAAATGATTAGTCATAGTATAGAGAATGGCAACTTGGAACATGTAGTAACTTGCCTAATTACTGTTAATTTTAACCTCAGCAAACAATCAACATGTTTTGATTATTAGGCTTTCCCAGGTGATGTGACATTCCTTCAGTATAAGGAATAAAGACCTTTAATGAGAGTCCTCAATACCTTTGGCAGAGAAACTTAAGTTCAATTTCTTTTGTTGATATTTTTGGATCTATGAAAATTTCACTTTGTGTAAAACAAGCTAAGACTCAGAGGAAAAAAATTACCTGTAAAATGGGAAAAGAATATAAGGTATTTTTAGACTAGACATTAGAGTCAGTTATCACTGGATATTGCTCACCATAACAGAAAGCCAAAGTTAAAAGATATTTAAAAAAAAAATCAAAGAAATTTTTTTCTACTATGCAGTTCAAATCATTATGGTCACCTTATTTCTGTAACTGAGATACTTGATGAAAATGAGCTCTATAAAAACGGGCAATCAAATCCACATGCTCTGTCACACAATGTCTGTGAGTCAAGGACTGTATCTTGATGATTCTGTGTCACTAGCACTAAATACAGTGTCTAATATAGTGCCTAACATTTATCACAAATTCAATGTTTGTGGAAGCAATGGGTTAAAAAAAATCAGCATATCCACCAATTCATCATTAAAAAATTTTTATATTCTGAAGGCCTTAAACTTTTCCTCTATATCTGATACAGAGGTAAGGAAAATTCACATAGCCATTTTTGAGAAAACCATGAACCTTCAAACTATCCCTGATTTATTTTCTTAAAGTCCCCATTAAACAAAATATTATCTTCCATAATATATGAAAACAGAGGTCCAAACAGATTAATAACTTGCCACAATGCTAATTATTGGTAGAGTCTAACTCTTCTGATTTGAAAATGAGTTAAAAATAACCTCAAGGTAAACATCAAAGATGATATAGCCCTGGTCAAGATCTAAACTTGTAAGACATTACTATGAAAACCTATTCTGAACTATAATACATAAAAAAGATAAGTCCTTACTAGGAAAATGTCGTTCTTATGTTATAAATAAGAGTTCAAAAATTTAGCAAAAAACAGTATTATATACTTACTTTCCAGGACACATTACTAACAACGAAGACAAGTCTAAATGCAATTAATGTAGCACACATTAATCATATCTTCAAATCCACAGAAAACAATGTTCAAACCCAGCTTTTTAAATAATTTTTCATAAGTTAAACATCTTATGCAAGAGTTTATCAGCTATTCTAATTTTTGATCCTAGTTACTATTTTAAGATTGTTATCTAATATTTCTAAGCCACATTTTTGTTAAGACAGTTTTGGCATATACTTAAAACAGTGAATTATAAAAGACTGAGATATTAAGAGAGTAGTGTGTTAGCCAACAAACGTTTGTTTCTCCTTAAATCATCCACATACTGTCTTTAAAGTAAGAGGTCTATAATACTGGCAAACATCCCATTCCTGAGTACACAGAGCAGTCACAGATATTTTACCTGTTTAATTAACACTAAGCATAACAGCACAATGGGTACATATCTAAAAAGCTAAAATTTTTATGCTTTAAACACAACTGAATGCCATAAACACAGCTAATGCTATAAGCCAGGTATACAACTACATGGAGAAATAAAACTACAATTACTGTACCTTGGGAACGCTTTCTCTTAAGACCTGCTGCATCTGTATTCTCCTTATATCCTCTCCATTTGAACAGAGAAGGGAGGGAGAAGGGAGGGAGGTGGTAGACAACTAAGAAAGCAAAAACACTGAGCTTCAAAGTAAATTTTAAATGACTTTGCCTTTTTGTTTTTTTGTTGTATTAAGTTAAAAATGAGTTATATTTGACAAACATTATTCTAAATTAAAAAAATATATAATTTCTAATTAAATATCAATATAACAAAACATTAGTTTAATGTTTATCAAATATTGCTCTATTTTAACTAAAAAAAGGCAAATGATATAAAAATTATTAGGTAAAGACAGCTATGCGACAGTACTTTTAATGTCTTTGCACAGATAGAACAAACATTCTTTATGTGTATGATTTATGAACCCCATCTTTATAGAACTAAGGTTATTTACTTTCACCAAATCGGTGACTATAACATAGTCAATAGCTGATATGCAAATTGAGAATATAGTAACATTTTAAATATCTATGCCATTTTCCTGGGAAAATACCACAGTATACATTCCACTACATGCTTTTCATTACTAAAGTATAATGGAGCCTTCCCACAGAAACAAAGTATTCTTTTCACAATTTTGTCCAAATTGTAAAAGACTTAACAATATGAAACTTTTAAATTTCTAAAAAAAAAAAAACTGAATTGAAAAGCTCCACTTGTAACTGATTTATTAGTGACACAATGAAAAAAATAAAAATGTATGCTGTGACATTTTATAAGTATGAAATAGACAAAATAAAGTTAGATAGACATATGTTTGATATTTGGTAAATCAGTAGATAACCTTAAAGTCAACATTCTCCCTGTCAACTTTTCTAGCTATATATATTAATACATTTAAAATAAACAGTTATTTAAAAACCTACTTGAAACAGAACCTACCAATTTGTTTCTTAAAAGTTCAGTTAGTGGCCCTCCCTGGTGGCACAGCGGGTTAAAGCACAGCACTAAGAAGCTTAAGCCACTTCCACATGAGTTCGATCCCCGCCTGCCCCAGAGATGACCACATGGCGTGGCAGACCTCTCCTGGCCCACCCGCCGCTGCTCCCCTCAGCAGTGTACTTCGTCGATCTGCCTGTTCTGATCCCTACTCTGTCTCTGGTGAACCCTCTCACCCTCCGCATCTCTGGCCTGTACCCCAGTTCTGTATGAATAAATAAAATCTTTTTTTAAAAAAAAAGTTCAGTTAGTGAGCTATAGAACCTTTATAGTTTAGCTCAAATTAATGTTCTAACACATTTGATATTCACCCTCACTCCCTTCTACATTAATGTTACAAAGTTAAATACTGCTCAAATATGAATAAATTTCTATCAGATAGTACCAGAAATATAAATATTCTGCTGCAGAGACTGAAGAAATGCAAAGACGTGTGCAGTAGATTGAAAAATGCTTACAAAGACATTTAATTAATGAATTTAATTAGTTATAAAAACTATAGACTAATTGGATGGCCATAAAACTACAGTCTAGTATTAAAAGCTGGGTTGTAACATCAGGATTATAAAACATTTCAATGTCACAGAGCACAGAGCATGAAAAATAACAAAGCAATTTCTTCACTGAAAATGTTTCTTCTTTCATGTGCCTTCTGGTCAGTTATTGAGAAGTAGATCTACTGTATGCAAGAAATATTTGAGAACAAAAAATTACTAGAAAAAGACTAACATAACAGATCAAACTGGCATAAATTTGGGACTCCTACTTAAAGAAACAAAATTCCAATTTTACAAATAAATCTATTTGTAAAACTAAAAACCAATTCCACATTTATCAAAAGAGAGAACTAATGGAAAATATATGCTCAATTTGACCAAATTTCAAAATTATGCAAGCTCATCAAGACACAAAAGTGGATGACTTTTCTTTCTAAAGGAATATGATTTAAGGATTAAAAATCATAATATACAAAAAATAGAGGAGCATATTTATTTAAAGCATTTTCATAAAACTAGAAACACTTCTTTACCTTCTCAAATTTAGTTCTTATTTTCACTTGAAAGACATTTGATTTGTTATAACATCCTATATCATAGAGTGTAATTTTTTCCCTCCCAAAGCACAGAATTAGGGGTACTCTCTTAAGTAGAGAAAGAAAGGTTCACTAACAATCTTAGAAGAGGTCACCATAAAAGAAATTCAAGTGCCAGAATGCATTACTTAATTTTTTCATTTTTCTAAAACTACACTTAAGCAATGATGTCTTATGTCGTGTTAGCAAAAGTATCCATAATTCAAAATAAGACTGAAAACAATTAAATGCCAACACTTCACAAAAATACTTATATATTTAATTTTTACATAATAAAAAGATTTAAATTACTAAAATACAGTATTGCAAATATATTTCCTTACTAATTTTTTAAAGAATTTTTTGCACTATACAATTCTGAAAGCAACAGAATTATCACAAACCAGAGGAGGATGGGAGAAGGGGGAAACTACTCACATACAAACCCTTACTCAGTATCATAAAAAACTGACAACCCAGATAATCTCAACCTCAGGGATAGGAGGCTTTTACATCTCAAGCTCATCAACTATAGTGAGAAAATTCCAAATCATTTCTGGATCTCAGAGAAAGGCTTAGATAGTACTCTACCCTCTTCTCCTTCATCCCCATTTTGACCTCACTCAGCAACAGTGACAAGATTACTGTGACTCTTTATAAGCCAAATTTGCTAAATATGGTAAATCCTGACAGATGTACTACCTGTCAATGTACGCCAAATGAGTTTGAGTAATAAAAAGTCCATTTTAAAAACTTTCAAATTAACAAATTATTTGGTGTAACTCCTGTAGACAGCATAGAGTTAGGGCTTGCATTGTTTTTTTTTAAGGTCTTGCATTCTTAACAAATATGTCAACCCATGTCCTTAACTGGAATGTTAGTTCACTTATATTTACTGTATTGGTGTGGGAGAATTTAATTCTACTATTTCCCATTTATATTTCTCTTTGTTACATCTGTATTTTTGTTTCTTGTTTCTTCATTCCTGCTTTCTTTTTCATTACTATTTTATTATTTATTTTCATTATGCTATCAGTCGTTAAAAATGAATAAACTTTTTACTGTGGAATAATTTTAGACTTAGAGAAAAGTTGCAAAATCTAATATAGAAAGTTACTGTCCATCTTTTAGCCAACTTACCCTATTGTGAGCATAACTATAGTATAATTATCAAAATGAAGAAATTAACCATGGGGCAATATAATCAACTGAAATACAGACTTTATTCAGGTTTGCCCAATTTTACTAATTCATGTTTTTTCAGTTATTCTGGGTTCCACCCCAGAGGACCACATCGAATTTTGTATCCTATTTCCTTTGTCTCCACTAGTCTGACAAATTCCTTGTCTTTACTCTGACCCTAACACTAACCAAAAATTTCAGTCCTATAGAGATATAACTGACAAAACTGCAAGAATTTAAAATGTATATTGTGGTGATTTAGTATAGTTATAGATTGTAATATGATTTCCCCCCTCCAGTTAAGTATGACATTGATAATTTTGAAGAATACCAGTCAATTATTTTGTAGAATGTTCCTCAATTTAAATTTGCCTGATGTTTCTTATGATTGGATTTGAGGTTATACATATTTTGGCCAGAGTGAGGTTCAGGACTAATTCATTTACATCAACCATTCTTTTATTTCTTAATGATTATTGTTTATATAGATAAATTATAAATAAAATGAAACCCTAATTTAGTATTTGGTTTAAGCATTTACAAAATTACCTACTTGACGATCTGGTTTCATTTGTATGATTCATCCCCAGTTAATTCTAGACTTTCATTTGTTTGGCTGCTAAAAAATCACTTCCTAGTCTAAGAGATGGGGTGTGAAGAGAATCAATTTTCATTTTAACTCTCAATCTAAATTTAAATCACAAAAGTTTATGGGCTATTTTTATGTAAAAATGTCATGTTAATCAATGCTTACTTTGAGATAAGATTCATATGAAGAAAATATCAAATATCCCATTCATCTATAGCAACAGCTATCCTAACCAAAACACAAACAAGGTCAGAAAGAAATCATTTTGTTTTAATGTAAATCAAGAACTTGATTTATATTCTTAGAAATTCTACAGAGCACTTTAGAAATTCCTCAATATATTAAAATGTTTTAAATTATTAAATGGAGTTTTTCCAGTGGCCTTGAGTAACTCCATTGTATTGTTACGGCTGGCTTGCTTTATCCAAATAGCTTTTCAGAATGTGTAACTTCATTGTCTATTGTATTATCGTGTGCTTACTCTTCATAATTGTTCTCATCGGGTTTTAAACCTACTGGGTTTAAAACTCTGTCCATATTTTTCACAAAAATGCTTAGCACTGTAGTATATTCACATGGAAACATTCAAAATATGACAATATGAAGACTCAAGGTTTGATCACACATACATGAAAAACGCCAGTTGGAAAAGGTATTTCTCCCCTTCAAATTAATGAAATATGAAATTCCAGCAAAATAATCAAAAGATTTATAATATTTTAAATCTTCATCTTTGATGTGATAAATTTGAGCTATTTTTTATAACAATGTTGGCTTTTTGGACAGCAAATGTTCTTAAGATCAGTGACAATTTTCAAATGTACTACAAAATTTCTGATATTTTCGAAGTTAAATCTTAACCTTTAAGTGCATATTTTCCTATACTGACTAACATATGAAATGGCTAGAAATTTATGATGAAACTACAAATACTGAATTGAATCACTGTTAATAATGAAATACTCCAATGCTTTACCTATGTGCCATGGCATATTTTTGAAAATCAAACTTTTTTTAATGAACCTAAAAGAATCCTCATTTGCAAGATTACAAGGTGCTTTAACACTTTTAACAATTTTCTGTTACTATTTTTACCATTCAATTTATATCCTTAAAGTCAACAAATATATTACCAATATCCTAGATTAGGATTCTAAAATCCTTAAGCACACACAAGGCATGCTAAAATTTCACAAACTATGTCCTATTATGTCACACTTAATTAACTTGACTAGCTCATAAAATTAGAGTATGCTGAAGAAAACTGCTGCATTTAACATTTAGGTAGGGAATAGGAGTAAAAAGGATACATGAAATTAAAAATTTTATTATGATAAGAACAGGATTTCAAGTAGATGGTGGAATCTAGAGATGAAACAGAGTTCATGACTAACTTCTACATGATGAATAAACAAGTATAATATTTTTTGAAGACATTAGTATAATAAAAGGGAATAATCTACATTTTTTTCATATCCATCCTTTTTCTCCAAGCTGTTGTTAAGGTATCTGGATATGTAACCTGGGGTTTAAGGTGAATTGCTACTTCTTGAGGCAGGACTTAAGAAGAATTAAAGAAAAAAGAAAATAAATTCCTGTCTAAGGCTAGCTTTCTTTAATGTCAATGAAACTATTCAGTTTCAAGTATTATGAAGGAGGCTTTTGTGATTTTTTTTATGGTGAAAGATTACAAAATAAGTACTTAATAGTCACACAGATAAATAAAACTTGTCATTTGTGCTATTACCAAAGTATAATTTCTATGGCAAACTGCAGGAATGTAGATATAGCTCTGTTCTGCAGGTATAAAACTGCTTCTGATATATTGTTATGTAGGAAGCATGAGCTTGAATTGAAATAAGGATATATTTGACTTTACAGATTGAGAAAATGAGGTGTTCCTTTGAGTACTGTATCTGCACATAATAAACAACTATTACATAAATTTGTTTTAACTGGCTATTCATTTGTCAGTCACAATTTTCATCAGTAATATAGACTTTAACTAACTAGGTACAGAAGATACATTAATTTGAAATAAGTTAAACTAGTTTCCTTGCTTGTCAGAAGTGTGTATATGGTTACAGAGAAATAAATGAACACAACAGGAGCAAAAAGAAACTGGAATGTTATTAACAATTAAAAAAACCCAACTTTAAAGTTCATTGTTTTGCCTAAATTATCTTTTATAAACAATTCACTTCTAACCACAGACTTTATTTTTTCAAGTTGCATTCTGTGAATTACTTCATCAATATTGAATTTTTCTGCTTTACAGATATTCTAAGAAGGGAAGGAAAAAATACCTTCATTATATTTTAATTCACTAGATTCAGTGGGTCTTGCCAAGAAACCTCCCAAATAAAGGCAAGCATGGATGAAGAAACGCTTTTAGAAGAAAAAAAAAATTAGAGGAATCTATAAATTTTAATCTACCTGTACTATATACTCACCAGAATAGTTGATCCCACTGCCTGCAGTAAATGGAACAATAGAAGTATTTTTAACTTTACCACATATATTGAATTTTACTCAAGATCACACACATAATGAAACACAATCTTAACTATTCTATACATACTTTTAAGTGTTGCAAGAATATATTCAAGCATTAAATAAGGAAATATAAGGAATAGACTGCTTCTAATTAAAAGCTCCAGTTAATAACATGGAGACAACTAAGAGGTACTTACAGAAGTTAATTCAAGTTTTTGTTAAATTACTAGAAGAGAACCAACATTCAAATATTAATAAAACTGATCTTTTGATATATACAAGGGATTTTTGCTAAGTTCAATTTTCTTTGATAACTAAAAAACACTAAAAAAAAAACTAACTCAAAGAGCACTTTATAACAATTTGTTATTATAATAAATAATGTTAGTTTCATGCCACTGAACATACACATTAAGTAAAATAAAAATTGAGACAGTTCAGAAATTCATGGCAGTTTTAAATTCTAAAATAATAATCAAATGCTTAAATCAGAAATTTGGTAAATTATAACTTCAATTTTATCAAATCTTCAAACTACTCTAAACGTGTTATTAATAACCTCCTTGTCTTATAGAACATATTAATTAAATGTATTAAATGGTCTTACCATCTTTTCCATCTATGGGTTTTGACACTTCAATATCAAAAGTTTCCTGCATCTGTTGACCTCTAAAACAAGTGAGATGTTCTTGTTCAATTAAATTACTTTCTTCTTCTTCTAGAGGTTGCCAAGTACCATCAATAAACCACTGCCCACGCATTACTGGTATTTTATCAGCTTCTGAGAAAAGAAATCACAGAATTACACATTTAAGGATCCAACCTCCTAGAAAGACACACAGTAAATATGATTTTATATTTTGCTACTACTGCTGTGGCAAAAAAGACTTTCATGACTCAGTAGTACATTTGAATGTTTCAGATTTCAAACCAGTGTATAACTTCATATGGCATATAATTTTACTTTTACAACTATTATACATAATTACTTTGGATTAGAAAAATAAGTGTGTAATTATCTATATACTGAGGCCCCAAATAACCAAAGCTAATAAGCTAAAGAATAAAGGCAAGTTTCATGCAAGATTCTGTAATCCTTAGAAAATATCAATGTCCATTTTCAGAGGTAGTGTAAAGACAGCATGTGTGGTAGTGTGTTGCACTTCTTAGTGCTACCCTGGAGATTGTGGGTTCCAAGTTAGTATACAGAAATTACTGAAACCTTTAATTATATTATATCTTCACCCATTTTAAGAAAAAACCCCCAAAAATAGCCTTGAGTAGTTAAGCATTTTGTTGATTAAATATTTTATATATGCTTAATATCTAGTTTTATGTATTCGTCTGGAATAAACAACAATGTCAGTTAAGCTACTGAATCCTTTTTCCTTGAAAAGACTAAAAGCAAGGGCCTCCCTGGTGGTACAGGGGGTAAAGTCTATGAACAGTTCAATCCCCTGTCAGGAAGCTGACGCACATGGTGCAGCAGACCTCTCCTGTCTTGTCTGATGCTCCCCTCAGCAATGTATTTCAGTAAATCTACCTGTTTTGCTCCCTACTCTGTTGGTGGTGGATCCTTTCACTCCTCAGTGAGTGAATGCATAAATAAACAAAAAATAAACCTTAAATAAACAAAAAATAAACCTTGTATGCATAAATAAACAAAAAATAAACCTTAAAGAATAAAAATAAAATGGAAAAAATAAAATCTTAAATTTCAAATGCAAAATGAAACAAATGAACTTAGTTATGCAGAGTTGGTGGTCTGCCCACATACAAACACAAAAATTATTTCAAGTGGATTTAAGAGTCATTTATAGATACATATTAGATATATCCTCTGGACAGAAAGAACTTAAATCCTTTGTAGTAATTACAGTGTTACAATTGTTAATAGTTATGATACTGAATTGTTAAGCTGAAACAGTAGGTTTTAAGTTAGTAGGTTATATAGGTTAACAGTAAGTTAAGATAAATATATCATGTTTGTTAAATTAGAAGCCAAAATTTTTAGCGCAAAGGAATCAAATAAATAAAACTCATTTTGAATTTCAATTAGAAATGTCATTCAATTAGACTACAATAGAGTAATGATATATTTTGCTTTTCCTTTTTGCACAGATGGGCAGTCGTAGGATAGGCATTGCCTATATTTTCTCTGTTAGAGAGACTTTCTTTTCTCTATGGAATGCTCTTGGCTCCTTTGTTATAAACTAGTTGCTGTATATGCTTAGGTATATTACTTGGTTCTCAATTCCATTCTATTAATTTATGTGTCTGTTTTTATTCCAATGCTATTTGTTTTGGTTATAACTGCTTTATGATATGACTTTCCTTCTGAGAGATTTATATACCTTATACTCCAATACAACTCTTTAATAGAAAGTCATCCTTTTTTTTTTTAAATTAATTTGATTCCTGGGATCACTGAATTGCCTTTCTGAGATTTCTTGTATTTCTCTGACTTTGTTTATGACAGCTATTTTGAGCTGTTAGATCACAATCTTCTGTATCTTTAAGTTGTACAATTGTGATGTTACCCTGAAGCTTCATTTTGCTTGGTGGTATATTTCTCTGTGCATTTGATGTATCAAACACTTCACAATTTTTGTTTTAAGATTTATTTTATTATTTATGCATACAGGACTGGGGGGTTCAGGCCAGTGGTGTGGGAAGGTGAGATGATTTAACCAGAGACAGAGCAGGGAGCAGAATAGGCAGATTGACTGAGAGGAGTAGTGGGTAGGTCAGGAGAGGTCTGCCAGGGGGGTGGTCAGGAATAGAACTTGTGCTTCAGTGGCCTGCGGATAGCTTTACAGTGGTGCACTTTAACCAGCTGTGCCAACAGGGAGGGACCCACTTTGCAATTTTTTTGTGAAGTGTTATTTGCTTCAATTAAAATTTTTTTTTAAATATTTTTATTTATTTATTTTTATATCATTCTTCATTTTGTGCATTTCTCCATCTCAGTTGTAATCCCTGTGGACTTCCCACCATCAATTCACCTATGTGCCATAACCATAGTCTCATGTGTTCTGTCAGCCTCCTTTTTGATCTATTTAATTCAATCATCTTGGAAATTAATGACTTTCTTTTTTTACCCCCCAGTAGGTGGCTCTATGGCTTTAGTCTTTTGTTATTGCTTGCCACTGGTGCTGTGTCACAGTTGGTAATCTGGACATGGTAGATGCAAATTCCATGATTGGCTTCTGCTGCTGCAATGGTGGAGAGGGGCACAGAGGTGGTTAGTTGCTACAGAGGAAAAGTGGGAAGAGGTGTGAAACATGAATGCAGCCCCACTGTTATTTTTTTCTCCTTTGGGCTCTAGGTCTGAGTCTTGACTGTCAGTACTCTCTGGAACATTGGTACTGATGTATATGCCAGTGACCAAGAGGAAGCTTGTGAATATTCTCTACTACCCTCCTTGTTGGGGTTCTGGTCTGTATGAATCAAAATACCTCCACTGCCTTGAGATTCACTTGGGTGGAGACAATTCTACCCTTTCTTTACTGGAACTACAATGGGGTTAGCAGCCTGGCTGTCTCTGTGCCACCTGCTCTGCTACCTCCACAATACTGATTCAACCACTTCTGTCACACAGGTGTTATGAATCTCTCTGAGGTCCTTGTGTCATAAACAGAGTAACCTTTGTTGTTCATCTAATAGTTTAGATTCCAAGGAAGAAATAAAGTACCTTTCATAACTGTTATTTTTTGGGAAGAATTTTCATCAGTGCACATGTTTTATTACTTTCTGTATCCCTGAACATTTTATGGAAAGAGTCTGAGTTCAAAAAGCATCTATTTCTGCAGATCAGTAAGAGAAATTCCTTAAATAAATGATGATGTGGTCATGGTGAAGGCTGGGGGCAGGACTGACACGCTACATTTCTCTTTAAATTTCTCTAGACCCTTAATTTCCTCCTTTATTCCTTTCATTGACATGGCTCAAAGTGGCACCATTCATTAATAGCTTCTCTCCAAAGAGTTGATACTTTTAGTTCTCTCTCTTTTATACACCTGTATGAACGTGTAACAGGAACTAATAGTAACTACGTGTTCATATTTTGCCAGTTGTATGTGGGATATTTTCTTTTTGAGGTTGATTTAATTTGTGTGTTTCTGATTTCTCTTTTTTCTCTCCCCTGTTTTTCATTGTCTCTTAAGCCTCTCCTTGTCCCACTCTACCTGTTTTAATTTGTTATTGTTTTAAATGTAGGTAATTAAAAATTCATGGTACTGTCTATCTTGGAGTAATGCTGAAGTGTTAGGTATGGATATGCGTGATGCTTTTTGGCCTTGTGGTTTTGGCAGAACATGTGGAAAGATTTAGATTTAGATAACTGCCATTCTCCAGACCCAAAAATCTCACCTCATTTAATCTTAACAATCATTTTAAAAGATAGCAACAAGTAACCCAATTTCATAAAAATATGTCTTCTTAGTGAAATTATGTAACTTACCTAAAGGCACATAGCTAGTAATATGAGGATGAAGATGCCAACCAGTTTGTCTCCAAAGTTTATTCAGCTCTTTTTCCTACACAACACAACTTAAATCTCAAATAGGAAAATTTCCCTTTTAGCTCTTTCCTAAAGAAATGTAGGTTTGTGTTGATAATTTTAAAATGAAAATATTGGTAAATTTTATATTGCCAGTATATTATGAAGACTTGTGTGCTCTGTTTCTGTTTTGTTTCTCTAGAAGTCTTAATTTTCCCTAACATTACTCTCTTCTATAGAGCTGCCAGGCAATCTTTCTAAAATAACATAAATCATATTATTACTATATTAAATTATTTTATAGCTACTGCCTTCAAATATAAACTTTGAGTTCTTTCGTGTGACTTTTATATTCTATCCATGAACTATATCTACAAACATCTGGTGCTACTTTAGTTGTTCATTCATCTAAAACATGTGGATTGCCCACTATGCACCAAGCATGAGGGTAGGCTCTGAGAGCTATTCAAGATAATGTTGATATTGTGTTATTCATGTTAAGGAAAATTCCCTGAATAGGTTATGCTGAATCTTACTTTTATAATCTTAAGCTACTGTTTATGTCTTAAATAGTCTTCATTTTATTTTTTTCATCAAGCTAACTTTTCTTCTTAAATATTTAAAATTAAATTTAACCACAGAACCACTGTAGAAATAGCTCAAAGCTCTAAATAACTGCTACACATAATTTTTTAAAGCAGGAAAAATCAAAGCAGCTATGGGCAAAGAAATATAATTCATGGCAAATTGGAGACCTCCAGGGAATATGACTTCACAAAAGAAAACAATTCTCCAGAATCCACCTATGAAGACACAAACTTTTACATACCTCATTTTATGAGGTCAACATTACTCTGATGTCAAAAACAGACAAGGGAATCACAAAATAAACCTATTTATGACTAATATCCTTGATGATCATGGATGAAAATATCCTCAATAAAAACGCAGCATATTAAAATCAACATACAGTGAAAGCATCATACATCATCACCAAGTGGAATTTATTCCAGGGATGCAGAGATAGGCCAACATATAAAAATCATTAATGTAACTTACCACATCAATAGAAATATCAAAATCATATCATATAAAAAATTGACAGCACCATAAATCAAGATTTATGATGAAAATGCTCCAAATGGAAAGGCCATATATGTCAAACCCAGAAATAACATCATAGTCAATGGTAAAAAACAATATAAAAGCAATCCAAATTTGGAAAGCAGAAGCAAAACTATTTTTATTGGATGATAAAATGAAAATACAAATATATAGAA